CGCATGCCTGTGCGTCCTGCTGGGCCTTCTCGTAGTCCTTCATGAAGGTCAAGCGCGGTGTGCTGCAATTTGCCGTGGCCATGCCGGTTATCGGCCTGCTGACCCTGGTGCTGGACATCTTCTCCATCCTGGAGCCCTATGACTGGTCCCCCTCCAACGCGTATCTCTACCTGAATATCGCACAGGTGATCATCGTCATCGTCTCCATGCTGTCCATGCACAAGCTGCTCAACTACCTTGAGGATGAGATCAAGCTCCTGGGCACCGACGCCCGGATTGGCGCTAAGTTCTGGTGTGTCAAGGTGACCATTTTTGCCACCTTCCTCCAGAGCATCGTCATTTCGCTGATCTTCTTCCTGGGTGCGTGTCTTCTCCTGGCCCGGTTTCCCTTTTGCTGCCTCCCTAAGAGCTTCCATCATGTGCCTTGTGTGTGTGTGTGATGCTGTTTGTTGAAGGTGCCCCCGACTCACGCCCTGCCCTTGGGGGGGACGCCCCCTCGGCCCTTGTCTCGCTCCTTGTTGGCCCTCCCTGCGCCCCCGCTCAGCCGGTGCCAACCCCGAGGACGTCACCCCGAGCACCATCCAGAACTTCCTCCTGGCCATCGAGTACTCCATCATGGCGGCCATTCAGATGCGCTTCTTCCCTGCGCGCGAGTTCCTGGTGGAGCACGGCGCTCGGCTCACCTCCAAGCAGGCCCTTCGGGACATCCTCTGGCCGACGGACTTCATGCAGGAGACCAAGCGTACCTTCACCTCGAGCAACCACTCGGACGTCATCGATGGCGTGGCTCCTGCCGAGACCTCTGAGTACATTGTCTCCCCGACCATGTCGTTCGAGGAGACTTCCGACCGGGCGCCGCTTCTCCAGTCTGCCGAGCCGGCCTACGGCGGGACGGCTACCTCCTCTCCGGTGGCCACTGGCGACTCACACGAGTAAGAAGGACAGCTGCCATCTTCTCTCGGCGTTGTGTGTGTGTGTGTGTGCGCGCATGGGCATGCACATATCCCCCGAAGAGAAATACACAAGAAAGATCCATCAAAAAGGCGCTAACGAGCCCCGAGACACGACACACAAGGAGCCCCGGGGAATCCGCCACCCCAGCTCGGCCCTTGAGGCGTACCCCGTGCTCTCGAGGGGCGGAAGGGGGGCGACAACGGGAAGGGGGGGGCAAGCATGACATGTATATGTGTATTCTCTCGCGGACAACGACGGCCTCCCGCGCCGGGTGGAGGGAGGTGCCTTTCTCGCGCAAGCGCGCGCGCGCATGGGAAGGGAAGATGTGAAAAGCAACTGCCTTATGAGGGGAGGCTGCTCAAAAGAGGGAAGGGGGAAGAACAGACGAGGGCCCTGCACTCCACCAGGCGGAGTGCCAAGCGTGGGCAGGAGGGAGAGGAAATGGAGGGGAGGCGGGGGGGGGGGGGGGGGGGGGGGGGAGGGGGAGAGAGGAAAGAAGGGGCGGGGGGG